TTGTGCAGCACCATTTCTTTGTACTACTGATGTTTCCTCCCAAAATGTAAACAAAAGGAAGAGAAACGCCTTATGGGGGGAAAAAATCCTATGAATTATAAAGACACTTATAATTCCTTTTAAGACTTTGGCAGTGTCTGATAAAATTAAACAGAAGTATATCTATAACAGCACTGTGGAGTGCCCAGAACAGGAAAATCAGGATCTCAAATATTAATAGAAATGAATCTGTTATCTTCATCCTCCATTTAATTCCACAAGATTTTTCTGCAAAGATGTGAGTGAGTACTATGGAACTGAATCTGAAATGTGTTAAATTTTGGAGTATTCAGGGTCAACTACCAGAATTTTATGGTGGTGATCAGGTTTCTGAGAAAGAGTCCCTGAAGGTTTTGTTTTGACCCTGGCAAAGTCCCTCCTGGTCAAAGTCCCGCTTATGTGATGGTCATGTTAATATATTCACTGGGGGTTTTCCTTGTGAAATTAAGCAATAAAAAATGGTCTTCAGTTTTGGTTTGTTTTTAACTGTTCTTTTATTTTAAGATATAATAAAGTGAAATGCAGTTGTGGAATATTGTTCTAGTCTTTGCAACATTGAGAGCAAACCCAAATTGCAACCCTGTGATGTGTAAGTGCTTGCGGTCTTTCTGGTTTTTCTTTTAGAAACAATTACTCTTGTCCCTTCCAGCATAAGAAAGACTCACAGTTCTTTGAATTTATACAAATGTCTATTTATAGGTATATGTTTAGGTTGATAGTTATGTACTTAGGTTTATAGTTATATACTTATTTCTCATACTTTTTTTGAAAGGTTAATGACAAAAATTACAATTGAACAGACGCCGATGTGTTCCTCCCCACAGACTTCAGGTGTTAAAGCATCAGACCTGAGCCCGGGGGGTCACCGAGCCAGGGCTGTGAGAGCAGGGGGACCAAAGTTGTTACTGGGTTGGTACCTGGGGAGATGTGTGTCTGCAACATCCATCAGCCTTCCTCGGGGAATCCCACGGGATTCTGTTAAAGAATAAGGGTTTCTTTCTGGTTCTCATTTATGCAAATAAAAGGTGAACCGGAAAAGCCATCAATAAGAGTTAAGTGGCAATATCAAGTCAGTTTTACTGCCAGGTCACTCAGTCCCCAACAAATCAAGCAGGAAAAATGTGTCATTTATCAATATAATAAACAGGTATGTGGCTCCTGAACCCAAACAGCTCTCTTGAAACCCTGTCTCAGGGCAAACAACCCGTCTCCTCTGCAATGGACTCCAAGGGCCTCTCTGCAGTGCTGCTTTCTTTACACAGCACAACTGCCCGCCGAGCTGCCAGCCTGCAGCTTAACCTGCTGTGAGCAGGGAATGGCAGGGAATTCGGCAGGGCGTGCGAGCTTCTCTTCACATCTTATGGAGGAAAATACCGAGATTTTCTTTCCACTTTATATAGGGTAAAACTGTGATCCAGGCTTTGGACTAATAACCATCACTAGCAGAGCTTTATAGCCGTGTCTGTATACCTGGCTGGAAGGCTGAAAGAAAATGAGTGAGCTCTAGCAGAGATTTCATTATACCTTCTGGTTTTGGGGGACTTCATTTCTTGCTCCCTTCTGTCTTTCCCATACTTTCGATCTCAAATAGCTATTGTTAAAAAATCGGTTTAGTCCTTTAAAGTATACTTTCCCCCTGGTATTGCACATCACAAGTTTGTATAAAAATGTCTTTTGGGTTGTGTTTTCAATTGCGCCGGGGATTTGCGTGACCAGTCCTAGCAGTTGTGTGTAGGGGAATAAAGAAACAAACACGCCATTCCCAACCAGCTGGAGCGACCACAGGGGACAAATACGACCCCGAGGCCGGGATTCATCCCTCTGGACTTCAGGCTTTCCAGCGTAGTGCCTGACTCGGGAGCACAGCTGCTTTGGGTTCCTCTGGAGAGCAAGACGGCTCCGAAACTGCCTTGGTTGTCGATGGGAGAAACTTTTTTCTCCATTTATTTGTGATGGAGGCCAGAGCAAACACATCCTCACGCTAGGGATCGGCTGAGATACACCAGTCAATGTAAGAAATTATGCAATGGGGGGGGGCAGATGTTTGTGTTCTCCCACAGTGATTATAGGAGCTTTGTTTCCATAAGAAATGAGGCCAGAAGTTTTATTCTGGAGAACAAAAACCAGCATGTTCTGAAAACAAATAGTGTGCAAAGGGTTTTCTCTGGGGAGAGGCTGAGGGAACTAACCATGCGACAGATGATGTTCAAGATCCCTTCACAGGCTGCTGCGCTCAGGGCTGGGCTGTTTGGGCTGCCATCAGCAACAACACAGACCTGGAATTTAGGTCTGTGGAATGAAACTCTGGTGACATCCGTACAGCGGTCGAGAAAAAACCCGCTAGACTTTGTCACAGTTTTGGCAGGAGGGAAAAGCACTGCGTGTCCAGAAAACGCTAGTGTGTAAAACTATAGTGCACCGCATTTCTGAACTAATGATGCGAGCGGTGCTAATTTTGTAATCACTCCTGCAGGTTTGGTCCATGGGTTGTGTCAGCCTGACCTGATGGCTGGAGGGGAAGGGGCAGCTCTCTCTCCCTGCTCTCCAGAGAGCCTTCGGATCCAGACTTGCCCCTCTCTGCACAACGAGAGCCCACAGTCCTACAAAGAAGTGGGTCACTGCTGTGTCTGGGTTCTCCTCAGCCCTTAAAATGTCATTTGGGAGCCTTTGCAAATTAAACCCATCTTAATGCTGCGCTGAGTGGAGCTGGAGGTGGGGCAGCCTCAGGATTTGGGGTGAAAAGTGACCTAGAGACCATCTTTGTTATTATCTTTTGGAGTTGGGCTCTAAGTGCAGTTGTCCCTGAGCCTACGCTCCCTCACTGTAATTACATCTGCTTCATTTGCGGAGTACCGTGTATTATATTTGTAGCCTGAGTTTTAAGTGTGTATGAAGAGAAAATGAGGTTATATTATTGCTGTAATTGAGAGGAACTAGGACAAGTTTTATTAATTTCCTGCCACAGAATACTGAGTAAGCCAATATTTTATGGGAAAGTTCAGGGAGAAGAGTAATATATGTTACATTTCTGAATTCCGGAGGATACTTGAAGAGTTTTACTGGCAATTGATTTTTCTACAGGTAAATTTTAATCCTTGATAGGCAGATGTGCCCCTGAATATATAGTATCTCCACTGAGATGCACTCACTAAGGGTACGATGAAATGGAAGCAGAAGGTGGATCAGCTCTCCTCTGACAGGTGGTGAGAAATTGGAAATTCTGCCTGTAGAAGCTGCCTTTCCCTCAGCAAAGGCAGGTTTTGCTGCAGTATCTACAGTAGTCTGTATCCAGAAGGTTCACAGAAATATTTAGCATATGAGCATCTGATTAAAAAATCCATAATTTGACATGTGTTTTAAGAAATTATCTTTCTTTATAGACACTACGTTGTCCTGGTCTGTGTTAACTTTTACCTACCCTTGTTTTCTATCATCCCCTAATTGTGCTGTGTTTGAGTCCCCCCCTCAAGGCTGAGGGGAGACCTTATCAACGCCTACAAGTATCTCAAGGGAGGGTTGAAGGAGGAGGGAGCCAGACTCTTTTCAGTGGTTCCCACCGAGAGGACGAGGGGCAACGGGCACAAGTTGGAACATAAGAGGTTCCACTCAAATATGAGGAGAAACTTCTCCACGGTGAGGGTGACAGAGCCCTGGGACAGGCTGCCCAGGGAGGGTGTGGAGTCCCCTTCCTTGGAGATTTTCAAGACCCGCCTGGATGCTCCTGAGTCACATGCTCTGACAAGCTCTAGGCAATCCTGCTTCAGCAGGGGAGTTGGACTAGATGATCTCTATGGTCCCTTCCAACTCTAAAAAATTCAGTGAAATTCAGTGAAATTCAGTGAAATTCAGTGAAATTCAGTGAGTAAGCCCTTAGCTTTCTGTATCTCTGTGCGGTATCAGCCACAGATTTAAGAACCCCACTGGATGCCCAGTGCTGGTGAAGGCTGCTGAGCTCTGGAGCTGACGGGGCTTTGCAGAGAGGTCCATGGAGCATCCCTGGCTGCGCAGCCCTCGGAAGGATGAGCTCAGGTCCTCAGCAAGGACCACATCTCCTCGCTGGGGCTCCTGTCCTGCGCAGGCCAGGGGGCTCCAGGGGAGCGGGGGGGTGTTTGCTGCAGCAGCGCTGAAACAAGCAGAAGGGACAGACCCCGCGGGTGAGAGACCTTCTACCTTCCCTTGTGCTGGTAAGCCCTTAGCTTTCTGTATCTCTGTGCGGTATCAGCCACAGATTTAAGAACCCCACTGGATGCCCAGTGCTGGTGAAGGCTGGGGGCTTTGCAAAGAGGTCCATGGGGCATCCCTGGCTGCGCAGCCCTGGGAAGGATGAGCTCAGGCAGCTCTGCAAGGACCACATCTCCTGGCTGGGGCTCCTGTCCTGCGCTGCCAGGGGGCTCCGGGGGAGCGGGGGGTGTTTGCTGCGACCTGGGAGGAAAGCAGCAGCACTGAAACGAGCAGAAGGGGCTGACCCCACGGGTGAGAGACCTTCTACCTTCCCCTGTGCTGGGTCTTGTTTTTCTAGGTGAATTAGCAGCGAGGTTTCCACGTGGCTGGTTCTGCAGGGCCCTGGCAGTGTGTGTGCTGCACCGTGCCACCGCTGCGCGTCCTGGAGGTTGCGGTGCGTCAGGGTTCGGTGCAAAAACACCTGCTTAAAATAGGAACCTGCTGATGTGACACAGGCAATGTGGTGGCTGTCCTTTCCTTCTTTTACATGGTAACATCGCAGCGACACTTCGCTGATACCGAAGTTGCTGAAGTTAAAAAAGTACTGGCAGTCTAAAGGAGCTGAAAATACCTGAGTCAGTGGTACCACCCTCCCCTTTGGCAGCGGGGTCACTCTGCGGTGCTTCTGGCCTTTCTTTGGGAAAGAACAGACACATGAATGCCACAGGGGTGGCTGGACTGCAAAACTGCTGCTGCTCTGGGACAATTTTGACATTTCTTTTCTTAGTAGTATGGGCTGGTCATGTTTTGGCTCTTTTCTTCATGCTGCACTGATTCATGGAGACTCCTTCATTCATCTTCTCGCTCCCCGAGTGGCTTTGGGCCATTTCAGAATTATCTTCCTGTACGTGCAAAGGAGAGATCTCGTAAAAAAAAGTCTTATGAGGAGAGGCTGAGGGAACTGGGGTTATTCAGCCTGGAGAAGAGGAGGCTGAGGGGAGACCTTATTGCTCTCTACAACTACCTGAAAGGAGGGGGTAGAGAGGTGGGGGTCGGTCTCTTCTCTCAAGTCACAGGCGACAGGACAAGAGGAAATGGCCTCAAGTTGCGCCAGGGGAGGTTCAGGCTGGATATTAGGAAAAATTTTTTCACTGAAAGGGTTATCAGGCATTGGAATGGGCTGCCCAGGGAGGCGGTTGAGGCCCCATCCCTGGAGGGGTTCAAAAGACGGGTTGATGTAGTGCTGGGAGGTCTGGTTTAGTGATGATGCTCCTTGTTTGTTGTGTGGGTGTCTATTTTTGTCACTTGGGTTGATGGTTGGACAAGATGATCTTTAAGGTCCCTTCCATCCTAGAAGATTCTGTGATTCTGTGATATAAAGCAGTGCCCTGAGAACAGCAGCCTCCGGGTGTCAGTTAGGGAATGGCCAGGCTGTGGTACCCGGCCAGGGCTGACAGCACATGTCTCGCAGGAGCAGTTATTGCTGCCTCTGTTCCTCTTGGGTGCTCATTATTCAAGGGAGAATCAGCTGTCCTGCCTCAGTCACTGCTGGCTTTGGATGATGGGCTAGCAGGCTGGTTTGCTGCTGGTACAATGCTGCAGCAGAATCGCCCACAATCGCAGCTCTGCTGCCAGTGACACTTCTCAAAAGAGCTTTGTTTGCCATGTTGTCCTATGGATGTCACAAATGACCCACTTTTCACTCCGGGGAGCTGCTCCGCAGCTGCACCGTCAGGAAGACTCAATGCTCCCCACGCAGTACCGAGCTCCAGGGAAGGTCTGCTACTGGTGAGGCCACACCTCGAGTGTTGTGTCCAGTTTTGGGCACCTCAATCCAAGAGAGATATCGAGGTGCTGGAGCGAGTGCAGAGGAGGGCAACGAAATTAGTGAAGGGCCTGGAAGACAAATCATATGAAGAGCGGCTGAAGGAGCTGGGGCTGTTTAGTATGAGGAAGAGGAGGCTGAGGGGAGACCTCATCACTCTCTACAACTACTTGAAAGGACACTGTAGAGAGGTTGGTGCTGGGTTCTTCTCACAGGTAATTAGTGACAAAGTGAGAGGGAACGGCTTCAAGCTCCAACAGGGGAGGTTTAGATTGAACATTAGGAAGGAATTTTTCACCGAAAGAGTGGTCGGGCATTGGAACAGGCTGCCCAGGGAGGGGGTGGAGTCACCATCCCTGGATGTGTTTAAGGGATGTTTAGATGGGGTACTGAGGGACATGGTGTAGGGGAGGGCTTTGTAGAGTAGGGTAGATGGTTGGACTCGATGATCCCAAGGGTCTCTTCCAACCTGAATGATTCTATGATTCTGTGATTCTATGCAAGCACTGCAGGAGAGCATCGGCAGGAAGGTCTGAGATACCCTCCTGCAGTATGTGGAGTGCTTGTTCTCATACTGGTGAGCATGGTGACCTCCCCAGGTTAAATTGCTGCCTGTGGCTGCGGAGCTGCGAAGCACATGGTCAGATAAACAAGATTTAACTGGGAAGCATGAATCCCCAGCAGGCTGCTGACTCAGAGGTCCTCGTTGTCCGATTCCTTGAGCACCTAACCCATTACTTACCACTGCGCCTCACATGGTTTGTGCAGAGAAAACCTGAGTAGGGTGATGTGGATGCTTGATTCTTCTGTCACGAGTAGTGAACAACAGTGGGATCAGTTGTGGCAACAGGCAGCTCTAGTTGCTGTTTGTTTCTTAGCTCTTCAATAAATTTAAGATATTCCGTTAAGCTGTGGAAGGCATCTTTTAGATGTTGTACATTGATGGCGTGTGTGTTGAAAATTCAGAAGTGAATCCACTTGAATGAATCATCCTAGTTGGGTAGAGGAACCTGTACTGTTACACTTTTGGTTAAAAACTGGAGTTAGTTTTCGTGTGTTTCACACTTACTCTGGATGCCAGTTCTTGTGGGTCTGTTTATTTGAATGGTCTGTGTGGCCAAGAGCACCTGCCCTTCACCAGCAGGGCTGGCAGGTAATTGTGCCAAGTCCCTTCTCTGCCACCCCAGGCAGTCTGGAGGGGGCTGGCAGGTTCACCGACCTGTCTATCTTGCCTGGTAATGCAGAAATTCATCCAAATATGCCTCTCTGGGAATGAATTGGTGCCGTGGTGTGAACTCGGGACTTGCCTAGTAGCAAACTCACACTTAGAGCTGTGCTGGGCTAAAAAAAAACAAAACACAACAACCGCACCCCCCCACACACCAAAAAAAATATGGTTTTGCTGGTGCTGAGTCTGATGGATTTAAAGCAAGTTTAGGACCTGTTTACCTCACTGTAAGCTAAAGTGGACAGGCACACGAGTGGGAAACATCCTGGTAACTACAGCCCTTCCTATATGCTCTGACCTTACTCTGTATCTAAAAGCATCCCACACTCTGCGTTCCCACTCTGGTGGGACCAGAGCACCAAACCCAGCCATCCGGGGAGTCATCCCTTGAATTTCAGCATGTTACAGCTCCTGGGAGCATCTTTCCCATAAAAAATCTTATTCGGGCTGAAATCAAACATCAGAAATTCACACCTGAGTAAGCGGGCAATGATTTTGCTAATCCCTCTTTAGCAAAACTGTATATACTCCAGAAGGAAAGTCTTGTGTTAGGGTCTGCTTGCTGAGAAACAGGGTGCCAGCCTTGGGTGAATGTGCCTGAAGGAACTGCTCCTCCTTCCGTGCCAGCGGGTCCATCGGTGTCGGCAGCAGAAGTCTCTCGTCCAGGCTCCACTGTCCCTCCTGCTCTCCCAGCCAGCAGCCCACAAACCCATCCCAACGAGAGGGGAAGCCAGAGAGCAGCCACCTTAGTTCTTAAACCTGGGTGGGTTAAGATTTAAGGAGCACTGATTGAATTCTACAATCAGTTATTTTATTATCCTGACCCTGTCCTAGGAAAGGTAGATAACATCTAAAGCGCCAGGAAGATGAAGAAAAAGAGAATGAAAATCTTCTGCTTGAGGTTTTCCCCTCAGGCCCTTCATCAGGGCAAGCACTAGGGCTGGGTTACTCTTGGCGGTGGGGAGTACACCTTGACAGCAGCAGTATTAGGGCATTTTCTCTTCTTTAGATGAAAAGCTCAGCTTTTGGATTCAGGCTAAAATAAAAAAAAAAAAAAAGAAAAGTATTCATCCTGCTAAGTAGATTGAAAGAGAATCCAGATTAAATAAATCATTAAATCATTCCAGAATGTTATCCACCTGTTCTGGCCTGTAATTTATTTTCAGATGAACAGTAGGTAAAACAGTAAAAAAAAAAAAAAAAAAAAAAGGGGCAATACAATGGCAAAAATGATTTCCCCTGAACAGATGCTTTGGTCCTGAAATAACACCTGGCCTGGAGAGCTGCTTGTGCAGCTTTTGAGAGAATTTTGAACTAATTGCTCCGATCCACTGCTTCATAACCTCGACGGCCACGTAATGCCAGCAGTTCTGCTGTGCCCACCTTTGAAGAGCGATGTCCAAGGCTTTTGCTGCTGCGAGGCCGGTAAAAACCATCCCTTTGACGTGGGATGGGAAATCTGTAGAGGGACATGACATCTCTTTGAGGGGACAGTCAAGTACCAGCCAGCTGGGGTGAGGGGTTCCAGACCTTTTTTACTGTCACAACCGCTCTACTCGTGTGCTGATGCAGGAAAAAAAGGAAGGTTTTCTTTCTCCTGTGTTCCTGAAAGGAGGGTTGTGCTTCAAAAGGCTGGGCAGCGCCAATCCGGGTGGTGACACCTTGTCATGACTCCTGAAGGGTTCCCTGTGCTCTACAGGAGAGCACCAGTGGGTTTTGTGCCACCCGTGTTGGCTGGGCACGGGAGGGGGGTGAAGCACTGGGACCAGTGGCCAAGGAGCAGAGGTGGGAGGCCGGCACGGGTGCTGGGAGCCGGGGGAAAACGGTGAAAAACGGTTAGTGTCCAGCTCTTCCACACCTCCTCCCCACCCAGCTGCAGCTGAAGGCGGCCACGGGCCGAGACCCCTATTTGTGTCTCTCTGCTGTATAAATATATAGATACATATATATCAGCTGGTGAGGGGTCTGGAGCACAAGTCTTACGAGGAGAGGCTGAGGGAGCTGGGGGTGTTCAGTCTGGGGAAGAGGAGACTGAGGGGAGACCTTATCGCTCTGTACAAGTACCTGAAAGGAGGGTGTGGAGAGACGGGGGTCGGTCTCTTCTTCCAAGTTACAGATGATAGGACAAGAGGTTGGATATTAGGAAACATTTCTTTACTGAAAGGGTTATCCAGCATTGGAATGGGCTGCCCAGGGAGGTGGTGGAGTCACCATCCCTGGAGGTATTTAAGAAACGTGTAGACATGGTTCTTCAGGGCATGCTCTAGTGCCCAAGATTACTGGTTTGTGGTGGGGTACTGTGTGGGTGATGGTTTTTGGTTTGGTGGTTGTTGTTGTGTGTTAAGGTGGTGGGTGGTGGTTTGTGTTTGGTTTTTTTGTTTTGTTTTGGGTTTTTTTGGGGTTTTTTTTTGTTGTTGGTTGGACTCGATGATCTCTGAGGTCCCTTCCAACCACTACGATTCTGTGATTCTGTGATAAATACAAATTTAAAACCCCCAGATTTTGCCAGCTCGGTGGCCGGTTTTCTAACGGATTCTCCCATTTGCTGACTGCACCAAGGTTAGAGCAGGAATCCCTGGCAGCAGCCCGTCCGGGGAGGGGAGAGGGGGCAGAACCCCCTCCCCCCAAGTGCGGGGGTGCGGAGAGGCGGGCGGGGGCCGGGCTGCCCCCCTTCTCCGCTCTCCCCTTCCCGGGGGCGGCTCCGCTCCTCCGCAGCTCGGGCCGATACACCGGAGCTCCGGGAGGCTGGCTGCCGACCCCGGCCCCTCTCTGCCTTTACCTGGGGGCCGGGCACCGGGGCCGCCGCCGCCGCGGGG